AAAACTAAGGGGAAATATCCGAGAGTAGGAATAAAAAACAAGACGTGGTGATGTGTAAAGGCTTCTCCAGAGTGCTCTTTTCCCTTGCTAATTTACCTCGAAGCAGTCAGAGCAGCTGTTTCAGCTCTAGGCTTTCTAGTGATGCTCTCAATTTCACATCTCGCTGTAACTAAATAAGGCAGTCGCATCTCTAAACTCCTATGGATGGAAATTTATCTGCACAATACCATCACCTACCTACCTCTCTTTCCTCTAACCCAGATGTGGAAGTCATTTTCAGTTTCTCCCTTTCTCTTCCGGTATGACATCCACTTTAGTCTGCTGTATCTCTTCATGGGTGCTGCCTTCAAATATGACTGTCCCCTCATCTCTCCCACCCAAAGCAGGTCCTGTGGCCAGACTGAAACAATTGTTCCTCACAGTCTCCCTACAACCCACACCTCCTTCATTTCCACATAGAGCGGTAAGAATTATCTCCCCCAAACAGCTGTTTTCTGTAATAGGAACGCAAAGTTCTGTGACTAAGCTAAACATCCCTCCTGTTCAAGGCCTGAACTGCTTCCTAGGTGCAAGTTCTAGCAAATTGAAATTTCCAAATACCGTTTATTATACCTTTTGTTAATTGCTCGGGAAACCTTCAAGTATCTTCCCACATTTCTCTGCATATTCAAATCCAGTTTCTATTCCATTTAGTACACAGCTGGTCTTAGAGATTCAATCCACCCTCTGCTTGTATTTGTCCCCACTCTGGGTGAGATTACTTTACTGTCTCCTCTAGTTATTCACCCCTCCTTCTTCTGACTTCTTTCCAAACAAACACAGTTGACACACAGCTATCCAATCTCCCTTGCACCTAGGAGGGTCCATGTGGCTCAGTGACAAGCAACATGTAAGCCAAAATGTTAACTGCGATTTAGCAGGATGAAGCATTTGTATCTTCAACACATCTTCCTTCCTACTGGCTAGAAAGAAGATGTGATGGTTGGCACTCCGGCAGCTATGCATCTTGAGCTTGGTATAGCAACCATACAGAAAGAAACTAAAGCTGTGGATATCACAGGAAACCACATCAGTCCTCAACCACCTTTTCTATGTTACTACAGAAGGAAAGGAACCCTGCTACAGTTAAGCCCATAGGATTTCCATGACTCCTCTTTTGCCTGAGTCTTGGGACTACCCACTTTACAGATATCTCTCCATTTGCCTGCTTCCATTTGCTACTTCCCTTGTCCCACTAAGGCGGCCCCTGCCCAATTAATTTTCTTTTCCTTATTCTTATTCCAAAATGTCTGCTTTATTTCTTTAAGTACATTTTGAGATCCAACACCTTCATGGAAATAATACTACAGCTAAACTTACTCAACCCAGTTGCTCCTTTCTAAACATAAATGCATACATACATCTATGTATCTAGTGCAGACATCTGTGTATCTAGTATAGACATCTATGTGTCTAGTGCAGACATCTGTGTATCTAGTACAGAAGCAAAGACAGTCTAATGGAGTTTCTATTAACAGGACTCCATCAGCTTCAGCATCTAGACACTTATTTCAAGCAGTACTTCCCACAGCCTCACTCCTGGAACCCATTGTAGTGAAGCTGACTTGAGAGCACTTCCACGACAGCCGAAACATGGGATTTGCCTACCATGCCTGGTGCAGTGCCTGGAAGAAGGCAGGCCATTCTTGACATAAGTATGCTACTAAAGACATTGTAACAAAGCTCCAGGATTTTTTTCCTTTGAGGTCAGGTCCAGCTGTGTGGCACAGGCTAGCCTCAAACTCTCAGTTCTCCTGACTGGGCTCCTGAGCACTGGGGTCTCAGCTGTGGGCCACTGTGCCTTGGGTTCATAACAACAACAACAAAAATCAAGTCATTCAGAGCTCTTCCTGGTAACTGAGATGTGTCATAACACTGGGAGATGCCACTTGGACTTAAAAACAACTTACTCTATGACTGTGAAGTAACGAACTGGAATTTCTTATGTGCCTCAAAAACATGACTCAGGGGTGAGTTACTTTTGAAGTGACTTAGGGACTCACTTTGTTAACTTGCTGTCACCGAAGCTGTGTCTGGTTCATAGCAGGAGCATGTGACCTTTCTGCTCCTTCACCGGGCCACCTCCTGCAGCACTGCAGCTAGGGCTCTATTTAGAAATATTCCCCTCCTCCCAAATGCTGCCCCATGCCACATCTGTCCCAAAATAAAGTCATCACTGTCACTCTGTCCCTGACTGGTTTCCTTTTGGTAAAGGATGGATTTCCATCTGACATGTGCATGTGTGCCCCTAGGCTGGCCTCTGTTACACAAGTTCCATGGTGAAGGGACCTTTGACTCCCACACCACTGTTGCTCCTAATTTCTTCTGGCCATTCAAATTTCAAGTGACGAAGCTTGAGAAGAAAGTGAATCAAGAAGTAGCAGAAAGGGCCGGGTGGTGGTGGCGCACGCCTTTAATCCCAGCACTTGGGAGGCAGAGGCAGGCGGATCTCTGTGAGTTCGAGGCCGGGCTGGACCGATAGCCTCCGAAACAATACAGAGAAACCCTGTCTCATAAAAACCAAAAAAAAAAAAAAAAAAAAAAAAAAAAAGAAGAAGTAGCAGAAAGGGCCTGGGAGATGGCTCCCCTGGGAAAGGGCCTGCCACGCAGACACGAGGACCTTCATAGTACATGTTACTTGAAGTAATCACCTCCACAGAGCTGGACAGAGGGCCAAATACCAACGGCCCTAAAGCTGGACTCAGTAGTCAGCACCTGGCTACTGAGCACGCAGAGCCCCAGAAGCCACGTGAGAGGCAGCTGCCACAGCACAATCTGAAATCCCAGCACCTTGTGGGGGAGGCTCAGTGAGCTACCCTGTCTCAAAAAACAAAACAAAACAAAACCCAACAAGGTGGAGCTTGATTGAGGAAGATACTGGCCTTCACCCCGGCCTCCATATTTACAAGTACTCCCAACATGCATACACCTACATGAACATGTATATACACCACACACACACACACACACACGCACGCACGCACGCACGCGCGCGTGCGCACACACACACACACACACACACACACACACACACACACACACACACACGCACGCACGAGCAAGAAAGTTGACAGGAAACAGTGAAAGGGGTAAAGAAACTCTAAAGAGTCTCAGCCTGGTGTTGTACTTAGTGTCTACTCTGGAGAATTTCTTCCAAAAGAAATGGCTCCTGTGGTGATATTTTTTGTGTGTGTGCTTTAACACATAAAGCTTGCCTGAAGATCAGAATGCGGAGCTGGCCAGGCAATGGTGGCACACACCTTTAATCCCAGCACTCCGGAGGAAGAGTCAGGCAGATCTCTGATTGAGTTCAAGGCCACCCTGGGCTATACAAGATTGATCCAGTCTAAAAGAAACAGAGCCAAGGTGGTGGTGACTCATACCTTTAATCCCAACACTTAGGAGTCACACACCTTTAATCCTAGCTCTAGGGAGGGCAATGGAGACAGGAGTGATATGTCTAGAACGAGAGAGGAATATAAGGAGGGAGGAGACAGGAGCTCAGGGCATTTAGTCTGAGGACTCATAGGGACAGGTTTGCCCCCTTTGTCTGAGGATTCAGTAGAGGTAAGACTAGCAGCTGGTTGCTCTGCTTCTCTGATCTTTCAGCATTAACCCCTATACCTAACTCAGGGCTTTTATTTTTAAGACCAATTAGAATTTGCACTACTGGATCCCCTGAAAAAAAATGTTCCACTACTTCTAGAAGCGTTTTGGTGTTTGCTGTTATAAGTACAGAACCCTTCTAATGCCTTTCTCCAGCAGTGGCACACAGGCACAAACTGAGTGAATATTTAAGAATGCTTGACAAAGACAGCAAAGGATGATTTTAGGATTGGTTTGTATTAATATTATTGCTGATATTTTCAAGCTTTGGTGTGTCACTGACAATTAGAATTCACTGCTCATGTTGAATCCCTGTAGCCCTTTGGGGTCTTGCTTAACGGTTATCTTTGTGAGTTGGGGCTGATAACACCACCACAGAGTGGGTGACTCAGAACAACAGAAATGGTTTCAAACAGCTCTGGAAGATGGGAAATCTGCAATCAGGGTGTCTGCAAGGTCAGGTCTTAAGGGGCCACCTCTTCCCATAGCAGCAGGAAGATGAAGAGAGCTCTCTAGGGTCTCAGGGCTCAAATCCTGTCTGCGGGTTCCACTCATCTCTCAGAGGCCCCACCTGCATCTGTCATCACATTGGGAATTACATGTCAACATGGGGGTGGGAGCAAGCTACCGTCGGTCCATTGCCATAAGCATAGATGCTGTGACTAAGAGGCAATCTCTGAAAACCTTCGGAAGCACTTTCAGCCCTGAGTTCAGTTGCTTTCCAGAAGCAACTAAGTCAGATTTCATCTGTGTTTTTCATCTCCTAACTGCCCATCTTTATGCACAGCTCATCAGTGGGTGCTGGGGAAGCTACGGCAAGATGCCATTCTTTGATGATTCAACAAGAGTAATAGGAAAGATCATTCTGTTTCCCTGATAACATTGTCTTTCCCCCCACACCCTTGTTTTTAAAGTTCAGTAATCCAGAACTAAGATTTGTGAAAGCCTTACATAGAATCATTCTAGAATATTTAACTTATGTTAGAATCTTCAAACACGTTTAAAGAAACATGCCCGAGTACCCAGGCCCCTAGTCTCAAAATGTAAACCTCCTTCATATTCCAGTTAAGAGAAAAAAAACTGAATAAAGATGCCAAATAGGATAGCCACTAGGCTAACAGTTTTAGCTGAAAATCATTTTATGTGAATTCAGAAGCAGTGTGTTCTGAAATCATCCATACAATTGTCTACTGACTATCCACCCTCCTTCATCTTTGGTCCCTGCGGTATGAAGTCTGATGGTGGGGCCGTCCTGCTGATTTGGTGTTGGTAATTCGGTATGAGCCTGGTGTTTTGTTTCTAGCTGTTCTCACTGGACACCCATCATGTTTTAGGCCACTGCTTATAGCACATACTCTTATTGCGCAGACTTGCAATTGTCAGGAGTGAATGCTTCTTCTCGGAGGCTAGGCTTTCAGGGATGAGGACGGAAGCACACGGTGCGGGTGAGCTCCCTGTGGCCGGTAATCTGGTGGGAAACGTCATGGAGTAGGAGGTCCGTTGTCTCGTCCAGCTTGCCACTTCCCTCTCTTTAAAAAGCAGCTGCTCATCCATCAGCAGAGTGATGATCTGCTTAGACTTCTCCCTGATATAGCGACCTGAAAAACAGCCAAGAACTTGCTTTAAAATGGATTAAAACACTAATTAATTTTATCCTAAATAAAATTAAGGCCAAGTTGAAATGTAGCAAAGTGAAAGGCAAATAGAAGACTGTTGGTGAACACATTCTTCTCAGTGTCCACTAAGCAAACAGATCATCAATATTGATGAAATTACATCTTATCTGGTATTACACTTTTCATTTTAAATGCATTATTGGATTTTTCTTTGGAAAGCCATCCATACTCTGCAATAAATCCACTAACACAGGCACACAAGAAAGATTTGAGCATGAAGTTAGGGAACGTTCTCAGGGGGTAAAATGCTTGCTGTGGGAGCATGAGACTCTGAGTTCAGATCCCTAGAAAGCACAAGAAGTCTAGAGGTGGCAGTGTGTGCTGTAACCCCAGGGCTGGGGGACCTAGAGAGAAGGGTCCAGAGACTCACTGACCAGCCAGTCTAAGCAGACTATCAAGCTCCAGGTTTCATGAGAGATGCTGTCTCCAAAAAGGAGGTGGGGAGGCAACTGAGGAAGGCGCCGTGACGTCAACCTCTGGCCCCACGCACAGCTACGCAGAAGGTGTGCAGAAAGGCTAGTTTCTCTGCTCTCATCTCGTCACCATTTCTACCTTTCACATTTCTTCTGTAACTGCTTCAAACCTTGTCTTAAACAACCTTAATTTCTGGTGGATACTCACAGGCCCTAACTGAAGAGGTCCACTTTGTGCTGAACCCACTCAGTGTCATATGAAAGGCACTGACTGGGACTTTAGCTCTTGGGGGTGATGTCAGGCACTACCTTTCCCTGGGAACAGGGCACAGTTTACATCTGTAGATGAGGAAACCACATCTCCCATTCTCAACTTCAGGAGATGGTCTTCTCTCCTTTCTCCTCCACGGTACCTTACCCTGCAGCCCCGAGCCTCTTGCCAACAACACAGAACTCTGCGCAGCTTCTTCCAGGAACTCTGCCTGGCTGGATCCCTGACTCATCTGGTATCCACCTCCTCAGAGCAGCTTTCCTCCTGCTGCCCTCTGAAGAAGCCCCGCCCAGTCATTCCTCATCCTGCTTTGCTCTGTGGCATCTGTCACTACTCTCACCGGGGCATGCGCTTGTTGTTTGTTTCCTCACCTAGAATATAAACCCCGTGAGAGAAGTCTCATTGCAGACACTGATGGCACATAACATATATTCAATAAATATTTACTGAGTGAATGAATCAAGAAAGAAACATCATCAAAAAGTTTCAAATGTTCTCCTTGCTATGGTGTAAATGAAGCAGATTGCTGGAAGATGCTGGGAGCCAATTTACAACTTAGCTGCCTGAGAAAGTTGCTTGGCTTAAAATAGCCTCCTGCAATACCCCCAATTAGAAACTAGAAATTATGGGCTAGATTTGGAACATTCTACTTGGAGTTTGCGGGGACTGGTGGGATGTGGGGGCAGCTAACTGGCTCCAAGTGGCAAGCAGGCACAGCAAGCAGAAAGCTAGTTGCACTGGTGGAAGCCGCCTCCTCAGAGCATCACAAGTAGCTTCAGAAAGACCAAGCCACTGCATTTTAGCCAAAATAAGGAAGAAATCACCCAGAAGTGGGCATCTCACTTAACTCTGCGTCCTTCCCCAGGCTCCCATTCTGCTGCCCCCTGTACCAGCCTGGCCACTCTAAAGCACCCCAGTGAGAAGGGAAAGAAGCAGGGAAGAGTCCTAAGTCTGTTTCAAGGAGGACAGAAACAACAGCCATAGCAGGGCAGCATCCATTCACTTCTAAGCACTGCGTTTCTAAAGACATGAAGGAGCACACAACATAAAACCAGAATATAAAAGCAGCAACAGCTTCATGTCTGAAACAAGAAAGAAATGGGGCAGGGTAGGAAACATGGGTTTTCTGAAATAAGATTCTCTCCATCTCTGCAACCTGAGGATTCCTTCTTCTTCCTCTAAACTGAAATAATCCATGAGAGTGACTGATTGATCCAGTTTGAAGCAGTCGAATGTGTTATTATTGACAGGGTGGGGGTTACAACCCCACAGCACAGGGCGGGGGAGACTGTTCAGTGGTTAGAAACACTGGCTGCTCTTGCAGAGGACCTGGGTTCAGTTCCCAGCATCCACATGGCAGCTCACACCATGATTAACCAGTTCCAGGGGATCCAGAACTCTCACACTGGCCTCTGTGAGCACCAGGCTTGCACATACATGCAAGCAAAACACTCACACACATATAGATAATAAATACTTTTAAAAGGAAAGTATAACATGTGACAAAAATAATAATAAATAAACACAAGATAATGAAGACCTAGAATGAGGGCAAGATCAATATGGCAGAAGGAGGGACAAACAGACGGTCACCTTGGGGCATCTTCTCAAACACAAGGTAAAGAGGAGAGACAGGATCACTAGGGTGTCTATGCAAGAGACCAGAGTCCAAACACATGGCTTCTGCAGTCATTTAACCATCTCTCAAACAGTTCAGGAAGTGTCTAAGCACCGAGGACACAAGCAAGAAAGAGAGACAAGTGTGCATGTGCACTCAGGTTCTGTTGGGTGAAACACCAAGGGAGTATTATCAGGGTGACTTCAAGCAGAGAAAGTTTTCTCAAGAAAGTATGGAAGGGTGAGATGCTAGACATGAATGTGGGGTGCAGTCACGGCAAGTCTTAGTGAGGAGGTTACACAGCCCTGGGCCTCGGACTTGGCAGGCCCTCCTTCCAGCCATGCCAAGAGCACCTTACACGTGTCCTTTGGAGCTCTGCCCATTTGATAGATGTTCTTTCCTCCATCAGACTCCAACATCCACAAAGTTCCCAGGACACTTGAGAAGTGTGTGAGATGGGTGAGCATGGAGGAAATGTTTCCCAAATGCTGGGGAAGGAGAGACTCAGAGGTCCTGGGCACTGAGGTCTGTTACTAGAAGAGTGTGTGATAAGAGCTATAGAAACACATGTCTGCCATAACAACACTTAGAAAACATGCTAACACTCCTGTCTCCTTCTTATCCAAATCTACTGAATTTTACTTCCACTCTGAGTGGGGAATATGAACATATAATGCCCCACCTCCCATGCAGTAACCAGGTCTACCAACCAAATCCATTAACTAAATTTATCCTTCCCCTGCCTTAGTTCAGATCATTTGTTGATTATGGTAGCTTAAATTATTTACCTATTCGAATGTCTTCCTTCCAATGTGCCTTCCAACAGGCCTCAAGTAGGCAGGGACAGGAAAACATGAGAAGCATCCGAACTTTAATATATGACCAGGTTATTTCTATTTAAAAACAAAATACCCTTCATCCAGGGGCTTGGAGGGTACCTCAAGTGGAGCACCTGCCTAGCATCTTTGGGGTCCACAGCACTGCAAAAACAAATAGACAAGACAAACCCCATCCATGGTGTTGACACAGTGAGGCCATGCTTCAAAGTGCTGCTCTGCTCTGCTGCAAATGCCAGCAGTAACAGCCACTGCCAGTCTAAAAAAAAAAGATAAAAAAGCTCCACAGAGAAATACAAATGAGAAAGCCACATGTGTGGCTGAAGCCACGGGGCTGCTGGGCTCTTGATCTGGCAGCTGGGGTTTCAGCAACTTAGGGGTCGGAGATCTAGACCTGATTTCCCTTTGATGTGAGGGGACCGTGTTTACTAAAAGATAGTGAGAGAGGGACATCACTCACCGCTCTCTGGGATGCATCCATCCATGGCTATTTATGTGGACCAGAAGCAGGGGCATACACATAGTCTTAACACATGGAAATAAGGTAAGGGTCAAGCCTGGGTCTGCAACACCTTAGTTTAACTGCAGGGCTCAAACTCCAGGCAACTTTGATAAGGTCTGTACTGGAGGCCAGGAAGGAACAGGGTAGAAGAAATGGAGCAGCTACCATGAAGGCAATGTGAGCATGCATAGCTACAGGAAGAGCCTCCCACTCAATGAGCATGAAGCCATCACTCTAAACCACATTAGAGAGTCAATAAGACTAATTCTACTCCAGATGAAATGTGTCTATAGGATCTTCTGCAGGATCAATATTCTACAGGATTTCACATTTTTCCTTAAAGATTTTTAAATAAAGCATTGAGAAATTAACATAGGGCAGGGAAGATGGATCAGCATGTATAAGTATTTCTTGCTCAAGCCTAGCACTTGAGTTTGATCCCTGGAACCCACATAAAAAACAAATATGGTGGCTCACATCTGTAATCCCAGCACTCCTACAGTGAGATGGGAAGAATCGAGAGAATTTCCAGAAGCTCATGGTCCAGCTAGCATAGAGTGGCAGAGGGACTGAAACAATAGAGACCCTTCTCAAACAAAGTGGGAAGAAGGAACTGAATCCCCAAAGTTGTCCTGACCTCACTAAACATGCATGCACATACGCACACACACACTTTCTTTTAAATGCAAGACTCATATATAAATAAGAACATGGAGCTATGAAACAAAACAAAAATGAGCATAAATGAGAACAAATGGATCTGATTGAATCAAATAAGCATCCCAGATATGGAACTACAGTCAAAATTGAGATTAAAAATAAAAACAAAAACACACTCAACATCTTAGACACAGTCGAAGAGAGACTTGATGGAGGTAAGCAGCACCAATGTACTCAAAGTACAGTAAAGAGGCCACAAGAAAAAGAGTAACTAAAACTCATAAAGGACAGATAGTAAGGCCCAAATTTTCATCCAGAAGTTTCAAACAAGATTTTTTAATATAAAAAAGGAGGATTCAGAAAAACAAATATTGGGGATTACATGTAAGTTACGATCTGCAGAACTGGCCAAGAATCCCTGGCTGGGGAGTTCACAGGCCCCAGGGAGAAGCTACCACTATTATTTTACTCAACTGACAAAAGCATCAAAATGCCTTCTAAATTTCTTTACCTATGCCCATAGATTAGTGCAGTTCTCAGACCTCATTGGAGAAGCTCCTCTACTCAGAGATGCACAAGTGAGCAAAGAGTAACTTTGGAGGGCTCAACCATAATGGGGCAT